AATCAAATTATTGATGATCATGTCGAGAAGAAAATTGCTGCACCAGATATTGATACAAGTCATTCAATACATACAGATAATAATATAAAATTAACAGAACAACAACAAATATCTCCTTCTATCCCATCATGGATTAATGATCAAGTATATGGTGATAAAGTAAGTCTATTATAATTCTCTTAATAGTTCTAGTTAAAATTTTTACGTTATCCATCATATCTTTTAAAGGTAATATGTGTTTCATCCTCGATATTATATAGTTTAAGACTAATGTGGATTTCATGCATCAAAATCAGCTGTCCGACAGTATCCATATTTCATTGTATGACATACATCTGCTGCTTCAGTTAATCTATATGATGATTTCTAATGATAGTCAGAATTATATATATTGAGGAAAGTCAAATAAATAAGCGAGAAGAATTCTATATTAGATGGTAAACAATCAAAAAAAAAGAAGAAGAGTAATCATTTTTAATATTTTTGCTTTGATAATAATGGTTAAAAGAAAAAAATTTTTCTTATTTCATTTTATTTTTCAAGATTATTCTATTCAATCCAACAATGTATAATATTCATCACATGGATCCTAATGTACGTTGGCATCAAGAACCAATTATTGATGTTATTTTTGTAAGTTATTTTTATTTTGTATACAAATATATATATATTGTTTTTTTTTAAATTAGTTCCATGGTTTAGCTGGTTCAGCTTTTAAAACATGGCGACAAGAATCTGCACATTATGATGTTGAACAACCAACAGAAAAGAAAATATTACCAGTAACTGATGAAGCTCCTGAAGAAGAAAATGATGAAGTATTAAATATTGGTGAAGAAACGGATTGGAATAAATTAAAAACTGATATACCTCTTCCTATTACGAAAACTCAGGAAAATCAACCATCATCATGTTGGCCAAAAGATTGGTTAAGTAAAGATATATCAACATCACATATACGTATGTTAGCTATTGATTATGAATCAACTGTTTCGGAATGGCAACTTCGTTCATTACCAAGAAATATTATGCGACGATCAATGTATGATCGAGCAAAAGAAATAGGTGAACAATTAAAACAAGCTGGAGTTGGAAAACGACCAATTATATGGGTAAAAATTTCATAAAAAAAATTTCTATTAATTATGTATTTTGTTTCTTTTTCAATTTGTATTCTTTAAGATTTCACATTCAATGGGTGGTTTATTAACAAAATATATTTTAACAAATGAAGAAAATGAAGATATAAGATCAAATACTCGTGCTTGTGTTTTCTTTTCAGTACCACATTTTGGTGCTGAATTAGGTTTGTTATTAAATTTAATTATTATCTTTTTTTTTTTCGATTAATCTTTCGGTTGAAAGTTTTTTTATTTTTTTGGTTATATCTTTATAAGAGAAGATCGTAGATTTTGTTCAGAATTTTGTACTCTTTAAGATGGTATTGTTAGAAACTAATTTTTCTATGATCTTCGTCTTCTAGCTCATCTATGAAATTTTCTTTATAGAATGCATTTGATAGAGAATTATTCAAAGAAATTTTTTTTTAATATTATCAGTTGACATACGTAAAAAGAATTATTTATTCTCTAATAAAATATTTTATTTATATGAATGATTTAAAAAATAAAGAATATATCAATATAATCTATAATTCTTTATTAAATCAATGAAAATCGTCAATCGTTTTATGTAAATAGTGTGTACTGGAAAATATTCTAGAAAGAATTAATTCTCTTTTTAAAGACAATGTGTTTTTTTTTGTTTATCTTTGAATGATAAGATATTATCTAAAAAAATTAAATTTTTGCATTTTACATAAATGATGAAATATGGAGTTGTTTGCATTTTTTGAATAGTTATTGCCTTGAATGTATTATAGAATTCATAAATAGTATTGAATCGAATATTAAATATAGATAATATATAATGTTTAGTATTATAAAAGATTGAAGATAATCAAGGATTTTGTGATGATCCCAGTTTATTTTGCATGTATTGTTGTCGATACGCTGTTTTCGCTCCTTGGTTTCATTGATTATTTATGCATGACGTTTTTTAATCTTTCCTTGTCACTCTATATATCCTTGATTAGCATATCGTTTACTTCTTCTGTTCGTATGTTTAAATTATCTTCTTGTCTAATCTCGTTATTTTTTCTTTTCTCTCTTTTGTTTCATATATAAGCAATGAATAAACTGTAAAAACCTTTTAAATATTACGAATTTTAGAAAAATATTTTCTCTACACTAATCAATTTTGTATAATTAATATCAAATTAGTCTTTACACAAGAATGAACAAACTGTCTTTTCATCTTAGAAAATATTTTTCTTAGTATCCTTTATAGAGTATTGGTTGGCTTCTATAGAATTTCTAAACAAAAAATACTTTAATAAGATTTCCTTGTTATCGAAGATCTTAATAACTTAATTCAAAAGCTAATGAATAGATTTCGTTTATGTCTGAAACTAAAAGTTAATAATTTCCATTTAAGTCGTTAACACTAATAACGAAATCAAAACCGATAGGTAGGATAAATCTTGATAAGAAAAATTTATTTGATTCTGATCTCAAGGTTTTGATTATGGTTTTTTAACCTCTATCATCACCAGGGATTCGCACAGTTTCATTTTTACGTTGTGCACCCATCGTATCAGATTAAATTTCGTCCTTTGAGATATGTCTCAGAGAAGGTTAGTAGAACATATGGATGACATTAATTGATTCTATTCAATTACTATTAATATAATATAGCAGCTCAAAGTACATAAAAATATTTCTTCACCACCTGGGGTCCATCTGAACTCCAGGCTATGAAAATCATTTCATGGTTATCATTTCTATGTAAACATTGCAATTCGAACGTGATAGGAAAATTACCACTTATTATGATAATTGTTATATTTTTTTGTGTCCAAACCATCACAAAATCATTTGTGACACATACTGGAAAATGTTTTAAGAACATGAAAAAGAAAAGATAACTAAACAGTATTTAGATAAACTATTCTCCTCTTGAATCTTCTTGTGTATGATATATTGTATAGGATGCTTACAGATACTCTACAATCCACAGATAATTTCAGCTACGTCTGTTTGATAATTAAGCTTAAATCCATATGGACTCTACGTGAGAAGTCGTCAACTATTTCATAGGTATTGATATGAGGATTAAACGACTACAAAAATCTATTCTAATTTCTTGTTGTTTCTCAATGATAATAATTGATATCTGTTAGTGGTAATTTTATTGTAAAGCAAACACTTTTTTGAACATTTTTAAACCATTGACGAGAGAATTCATCTGATTGATAATCTCCATTTGAGCTCATAGGTAGGACTCATAATATAGATAAAAATCCTTAAAGAGTTTGTACTATTACGCCTTTCTTTTCGAATTATGGGCATTTTACTGAACTTTCAACCTATTGTAGGATATCATGAGAAAAATCGCAACAAGAAGTTTCTATCTGAAATTCTTTCTAATAGTGAGCTTTCATAATTCTTATAATATGATTTCTTCTTAAGACACTGTATGCCTAAAGACTGGACTATTTCTGAAGCTTTTGTATGAAGGACACATTTTTTTTTGCAAGCGTGTCATCTCAGAAGCAGAACATCACAATGACTATGAGAGCTTATTATCAGGAAAGATATCAGACCGAAACTCCTTGTTGCGATTTTTCTCGTGATATCCTGCAATAAGCTGAACGCTCAGTAGAATGATCATAATTCAAGAAACAAGACGTAATAGCACGAACTCTTCCAAGATTTTTATTTATACCATGAGTCCTACCTATGAGTTCAAACGGAAATTATCAGTTGGATGGATTTCTTACTGTGCTGACACACCAACTAAATAATTCTATGATCTCATTTAGAAATTTATTTCGCATTAGAATTCCAGTCGATGATATATATATATTTCACTAAGCAACGAAGGAATCAGTTTATCTTAATTAAATTTTTCATATCATTTCTAAAAGAATTCTTTGATTGAAAATCTATGATTATTTTTTTTGCTTTTTTTGTTATTAGCATCATTTGGTATTCGTCATGCATTTATTGTTCGACCAACAGTTGAAATTGAAGAATTACAACCAAATAGTGAAAATCTTCTTAATTTACATGAAAATTTTCTTCAAATACTTAAAACTTATGATAATATAAAAATTTTAAGTTTTGCTGAGAATGAAAAAACAACATTTTCATTACGTTATCAAACTGTTGTTGTACCATCTGAAAGTTCACAAATAAATATTGGAAAATTTTTTATATTAAATAAAAATCATATTTATATATGTAAACCAAATTCAAAAGATACTCTTGAATATCAAGAATTACTTGATCTTATTCGAACAATTTATTACGAACGTAAAAATGAACTTAAAACTGATCAAATGAAATCAACAGAAGATCTCCTTAATAGTTTATATATGTTTTCATCACCTATAGAAGATGATACACAATAAGTTTTTTTTTGTTTTTCTTTTGTTAGTTTTTTGTTTTTATTCCTTCCGAATATTTGTTTATATTCGAATGATTAAAATATGTATTTTTCTAGAGATTTTTATATTCAAGCTTTAACATTTTTAGATAATATTTACAAATAATAATACAAAAGAAAATTTAAATGAATTTGAAAAAACAAATATACAAGAGATAACATCTATAGATGAAATCTATACATATATTGCTAAATTGCAACAACTCGATGTTATAAAATCGATCATGATTGAAAAAGTAAGAATAATAGAATTTAGATTTTAAAAAATAATTTTTTTCTTTATTTTAAAGTTCAAATTATTTTAAATGATGTAAAATATCGACTTTGGCTTTATTAGTGAGTTATGGATTCATTTACTTTATCAGTTGAAGAAACAGGCAAAAACATTAAATCGATAATGAATTAGAAAGATCTTTTCAGAATATGAAAAGCAGAAGTTATAAAATTTCTCTTATTGTTCTTGCCAATTATCAATGAGTATAGAAATTAGAATGGTTACCCAAGTTGTCCAAGCAATTCCTTGCGACCAAAAATCACCTGGAGAGAATTACAGGTAAAAAATCTTTTCTTGAATCGAATGAAAATATATCGCTGTTGGATACCTCTTTGAAGAATTCTTCGGTGTAAGCTTGAAAGTACCTCTTTGGTAATGGCATCGTTACTGTCGTATGAAAACTTTTTTAATAGTGACTGGAGAATGAAATATTCTGTTGAAGTAATAATTGATTAACATCACGAAAATATTTTTCTATAGTAATGTGCAGCAGCCTATAAGTAAATAATGAAGCAATTTTAAATTTAAGTTTTTTCTCGTTTGTAGAACTCATATTAAGTTTTTCGAAGAAAAATATAGTGTGTATAAGTATTAGGTCGACGTTTTTCAGCTTGCCTTTTATAGTAATGCGGATCAGAGGCAGATAAATATGTTCTTTCTAGCAATGGACGACAATAGGTGCCACAGTTCCTTTGCAATGGAAAAGGCGTTGAACGGCAGTAATAGCAAGACTTCGACTGTTCTAAATAGTGCAGTTTTTGATTTTCGCGCAGATTGAAATTTCTATTCAAGATGTCAACGATGATGGATAGTGGTACATAGATTTGCCATAATGGGCATATCAAGCGTGGATTGATCAAGTTATAATTTTGGAAAATACTTAATATCAATGTTTGTGAGCTTACTGACATATATATAATAGTACATTGAGAGCTGATGTAAACATAATGGATCTGTGCAATAGGCTTACTTATCAATTAAATTAATGGTTAGAATAATGATAATTGCTAGAGATTTTTTCACTTGACATACTTTCTATTAGTATAATAACACATGTGAGTTCGACATTTTAGTTCCAAATAGGCTGTGTTGACAAGCTTTTTATTTCTAAGCAGGAATTGTTGAATTTTAATTGTCATACAACCATGTATTCAACTGACGCACGATTTAAAAATTTCTATTTCAGACGAGAAAAACTATCTTATCATAAGACGATCATAAAACATCACATTTCGTCATTCAGTTTTGTCCGTTAGCAAACTATCATTATTTATCTCCGATGATTTTCATCTTTTTATACCATTGCGAAAAATAACGATATTAATAGTGTTTAGAATAATGAATAAGTCAAATCTGTCACATATATTTTATTTCTCTACAATATTCTACTAATAATGTTTTGCGGATAATTGTTCTTTTTTTTATAATTTACAATGTCTTTATCGAAAATCAATAAAAAATAAAGATTGGTATTTATTATTTTTCAATAGAAATTAATTTGAATTTCTCTAGGATATTTGGATCATCATCAATTTATTTTACTGAATTAACATTTTGGTTAACAAATATTGGTTTTAATTGGCTTCTATATAAAAGTAAACATTTATCAAAATTTTCAATTGAAAAACGTTTAATATATTCATCATTTCTTTCAATAATTTTCAATTTTGGTTCAATTATGATTATTAATAATATAAGTCATTTTTTTGGTCGAATTGAATTATTAAGACTTATATCTAGTTTAACATTATCGAATTGTTTATTATCGATTGGTTATTTTTATCTCGATGATCTTTACAATATTAATAATAATTCTAAATAATAATAAGAAGAAAAAAAAATTGTTTTGTTTTTCTAGATTTTATTCAATAAAGATGAGTAAAAGTTCCTATGCGTTATTGAATAATTCTACTGATACACTCAGTGTTGAAATACCAATTAAAGAACCACCATCATCATCATCATCATCACAAACTTCATCTACAACGAATACGACGAATGAAGAAACACTTAATAATCGTTATATGCAAATAGCAGTTGCTGTTGTACTCTATTGGTATGAAGGAAATTGATTTCAAGTTTTTTTTTTGTTCGTCTATATAGAATTGTTATTTAGGTTTGTTTCGATTTCTATGGTGTTTTTAAATAAATATTTACTTAGCTCAAAAGATGTGAAAGTAAAATTGTTTTTTGTTTTTAATTAATTTATCTATTTATAATAATTTTATTGTATATAGTTAGATGCACCACTGTTTATAACATGGTATCAATGTGTTGTAACAGTTGGTTTTTGTGCTATACTTGGAAATTTAAATAAACGTGTTGCTGTCTTTTCAACATTTCCTTCATTTAAAATTGATCTTAAAATTGCACGTGATGTTAGTAAAAGAATTTTTTTTTTGTTGTTTGTTTTTTTAATCTAAAAACAAAAAAAGAAATTCCTATAGGTACTTCCACTTTCAATAATGTTTGTTGCTATGATTATATTTAATAATTTAACTTTAAAACATTTAACTGTATCATTTTATATGGTTGGTCGATCATTAACAACTGTTGCTAATGTGGTATGTTATCAGTTTAAAAAAAAATTGAAAATGTAATAGATTAAATGTTTTTGTTTTTAAGCTTTTTACGTATTTTATGCTTGGTGATAGAACATCATATAGAGCTTTAGGTTGTTGTTGTCTTATCATTGCTGGATTTTTTCTGGGTATTGATCAAGAAAATTCATTAGGTAAGATAATAGTCATTAGGAAAATTATCATCAAATATTAGAAATAGAATAGAATAGTTTGTTTTATATTACAATAAATCTTTATAATCTCTATTTCTCTTTTCAAGGAAGATTTCTCACGTAAGAAAATAGAAAAAAATTTGACTTTAATTGATTTTATTCTGAGTTTTTTGTCAACATTTTCTTACATGATTTTTGCACCTTGCGATTAGTAACAATCAGAAATTTTTATTATGCGAATTTATTCAATTCAATGACATTCAAGATCGAGTACACTGTCAAGTGCATTAAATAACATGAGTTTTACTGAAGTCGAACAGTCTTAATTATGTAACTAAAAATAATAATCAATCTGACTCTTTGAAATTGATTCGCATGCATTTTACTCGTAAAAATTTATGTTAATAATTAATTGTCTTCAAAAAGTTGGAGTACTTGCGAACGCATCTTGATCTTTCGGTTATTCAATTTGCGGTTACTATGATAATAAATTTTTTACGTGATTCAAATAAATAAGCTGCAGTGATTGTGGAATTCCATCGTTTAGAAATCTTTTTTTTTGTAAAAGAAGTATACTTTTAATAGTGCCATTCTAAGTTCAACTGGATTATCAAAAAGTGACTCGATTTCGATGCCTGATATAAATTATTTCATTATTACATTTCTGAAGGATTAAGTAAAACTATTCTATTCTTATAGGTACTCTTTCTGTATTTGGTGTATTTTGTGGTGTAGCATCAAGTATATTTGTAGCATTAAATGCTATATATACAACTCGATGTTTACCATGTGTTGATAAAAATGTTTGGCGTTTATGTTTATATAATAATTTTAATGCTTGTATTCTATTTCTTCCTCTTATGGCTATTTTTGGTGAATTACCAATTGTTTTTAGTTATCCAAAATTATTCAATATTTCATTTATATTTCCTATGACAGTAGCTGGTTTTCTTGGTTTTTCAATGGGTTATGTAACAGGTTATCAAATAAAAATGACAAGTCCATTAACACATAATGTATCCGGTACAGCAAAATCTTATGTGCAAACATTAATTGCTGTTGTTGTTTATTCGGAAGTAAGAATATAAATGATAGAATGAATTATTTGTTTTTTTTTTCTTCTTAATTCCAGACAAAAACAACGCTTTGGTGGTTATCGAATCTATTTGTTCTTGGAGGATCTGGTCTGTTTGCACATGTTCGAGCCATGGAAATGAAACGAAATCATAATTTAAATAAAACTACTGACAATAATACGAATATGTCTTTACCGAAATAATTAAATTTGACGAAAAAAAAAACAAACAAATTAAATTTGACTTTGGATTTGTTAAAGAATCTCGATGAACTCTTCCAATCTTTTTCTATTAAGAAAATGAGAAAATAGTTCTTTTTTTCTTTTTTTGATTAATCGTTTTCTTTTCCGTTATTTTATTAACATTAAGCTATTCTACTGTGATCATTTATTCTCTTATTGATTTATTTGTTTGTATTCGATAAAAAAAAAAACAAAAGAAATTTATTTATCTTATTCATTTTTAGATTTTAAATATAAAATAAAATAAAATAAAAAAAAAACAAAAGTATTGTGTTTATTGTTGAGAAAAAAATCTAGAAACTCTTGGGCTTTTAGTAATGATGAGATGAACAATTGCTTCTATTAGAGTACATATAATTTCGTGTTCGTTTGCTTGATACGTGACGAGTACCTGAGACTATCATTTAATTAGTATGATGATTACCGTTCGAAATTGTATGATAAGATGAAATATTATAGTTATATTGTTCAATGATTTGAGAATAGTATGGATAAGACGAAGACATGTTTTAAAATAATATATTTATCTTTTTCTTTATGTAAATAAAATCTATGAAAATAACATATATAACATGAAACAAAAAAAACCATGATTCACACACAATTGGATTTTTTTCGTCCGATAAAATAAACTCCTTGTTCAAAACAAGGTGAATAGATTTGTCGTTTTGTTCGATTAAAATTAATATAAAGTGTTTCAAATTGATTAAGAAATCTATCAATAATCCATTTAGTTATTCGTATTGGATGTAAATATTCAGCATTTTGAAGTACACAATCACCTTGTTGTGGATAATCAAACCATCGTTCATGAAATATAAGTAAACCATTATCTTCTAATAAATCATATAAACCACGAAAATATTCTAATGCATCATTAACATGTTCAATAACATTAATCGATATTAAAGCTGAATAATATTTTGATGAATTTAAAAAAGATTTTTCTTGACGACGATTTTTCATGATAATTTCAATTGATTCAGCTATTATTGATATTGGATATCCACGAAGATAACCACCACGATATGCACAATTATTTAATTTCATATAATTTAATGCATTTGGCTCAATAAGTGTTATTTGTTTAATTAAACGAAATGGTGTTAATAAATATTGTACTTGTGTAAATGGACCAGCACCAATTTCAACAATTGAATTAATTTTTAATGGAATAATTTTATAACCATAAAAACCTTCAACATGTTCCTGAAGACGATCATCAATTATCATTGGATTTTCTTTCCAATAATCAAGTTCATTATTAAGAGATTTATGCCAGAATATAGATGGTATTTGAGTTATACCAGTTAAACGATGATAAAAACATAGAAATATACAAGATATATTCCATTCTTGTTGTGCATATTTTGATTGTAAACATTTTTTTTTAGTTTGTTTAATTAAAGAACGAGTCCATTGAATTTTATGTGTATCTATTGGACAATGAGATCGATAAGTCTGAAAGAGAGTTGAATTTTCTTTGTGTTTTATTTTATCATAAATACATTCATAGAAATTCTCAAAAAACTTGAATTAAATTTAAATATAAACATGATCAGTGTGTATAAATCAATATTTTCATTCTCATCTTCTTTATTTGGTGTTGAAAACAGGTATGAAAGCGTGCAGTAAAATTGTAAAAAGTCTTCAAATGTTTCAATTTTCAAGCATGATTTAAAATTCATAACGATCATCGAAAAACGGAAGCGTTAGTGATAATCTTTTTCTTGAGAACATCCCAAAGTTACCAGAATTTAGGAAAGGTGAGGGTAACCCTCTTCTGAGGACACCCGTGCTTATTCTAGTTTTTGTTTTTTTCTTCAGTTAATTAGTTATCAATGGATACACATTCAGGAACCGAAGAACGCTTTATAGAGCAAACAAAACTGAGTCATTAAAAACTGTTTTGAATTTTGAATTTAATAGATTTCAATCAAAATACAAAATTGACTAAAGTAGTATTCTGTGCAAGTACACTTTTCGAACAATCTGATGATAGTTGTTCAATCTTATTCCAAAAGGAAATTCTAAATACATATTTGGAAAGAAGATTTTCGTACCATAGGTTATCATGTAGATTTTTTTTTTCGTATACTGGTAATATGAGCATTTTTTCTCCTGTTTATATAAGCCTTCATATTTATCACAAAAGTTTTTCAATCTTAAGACTTAACTATCTATGCTTAACTTCGTTTAAATCATTCAGAAAATTTTTAACCTAGGTTTTTTTTCGATATACCTCATTTTTTAATTTTATTTCACATTGATCTCCAATAAAGCCTGGATAGCAAACAGGTTGATCAAAAAAACATTCACCATGATTAAAAATTATTAACGATGATTTTGAACAATGACATCTAGATAATGATGATTTAAATGAAGTTAAATATACTGTTTTTATATCATCTGAATTTAAAATTTTAATTAAGAGAAAAAATCCAATTAATGAAGTAATAAAAAGTCCAAAAATAACTATAAAAATCGATTTTTGTTGTTGTCGTCGACTGAACAGCTGCCACATTCGATAGAATTTCATTTTCTGTTTTAATTCTATCGATAATGATTACATCTTTTCTTTTACAATTTGAATTCATGCTGAGATGAAAAACGAAAAAAAAAAGAAATTGTTAACTTCAAATTGTGCAGAAATTTCAATTGACTTTTTTCTTAAATGAATCATTTATATTTTAGAAATTTTTATTTATTCTCAAATAGAATAATGATTAATGTATATTCGAAAATATTATTTCTATTCTAATTGAATAGA